ATTTTTGTTGACACAATTTTCGAGGCATTCTCCTTCGATCCTGAGGAAAATATGCTAAGCTTTTGTCCCTCGTATGACGAACCTTCTCATCATCTTTACGACCATCTTCAAGCCAACGAGTTTTCTTGACCCGAACAATATCTTTCAAGAGATATAACATTACTCAAGAATATATTGGAAGAGTAATTGGGTTTTGAGGACTCTTCTGAAATACCATTGTTGACCTGACCTTTATTTCACCTGAAAGTGTTTGCTGACCCTCGTCCTTGTATCCGGTGCTGTGGTTACAAGAAAGGATCCCAGCTCTGATTGACTCTGTCACGTGGCATAACAGACGAAAATCTTCTCAAATTTTCCCCGCAATCGGAGAAGACTGCCCCGAGGACTGTGTCAGCATGATTATTCCGTGAGCATCGACAAGACGTAACCAAGGCGAATTGGCTAGTCCATCGGTACATCTGGCGATGGACTGTGCTGTTGGCGGTAAAAGGCACTCGGTGGGGCCGATTTGATTGGGCCAAGTGCATTTGGGATTAGGGCGAAACAGAATGGTACAGTCCAGACACTTCACTTAGACTTTATCGTACAGTCGAATGATCGAACTATTTACGCCCTGATGGGAAGACTTTCACTTCGTGTGGACGTACATGATGAAGCGATTCGTAGACAAGGTCGGTTGAGTCGCGTTGTACTCCAGCCGTTTGACCTTAATACGACGTACCCTGTCTCATGGACTCCCGGTCCGAAAGCAGGTCTTGCAGAACTGAATCCGCCTGCTCGGCACATTCCCTCTGCCTATGAGCAAAGCAGAAGGAAGTGAAGCACCACCCGATGTTCATTCGAGCCTCGTGTAACCATGGGATGCCGATTCTCTTGTGGAAGTTACTTTGACAACGGGTCATTGAAAGTGAAACTACCACCAAAGACCGGGCGAGGAGGGATGCAACAAATGGCTCAAATGTCTGTCGGACGAGCATTGCACAAGCCATTTGAGGGGCACAAAAAAGGCGGGATAGCCTCGTTAAAGTAACAAGGTTGTAGAAGTGGGTTGACCTTGTTGTCGCAAATTGGTCTTGTTGTCAAGGCGACTTAGTAGAACGCACCTAGTCTGAAGTCGTCTGCCATAGTAGTTGGCATGATTCTCTCTTTGACGAGTTCGTAGCTTGGTGCGGAGAATGGCAAAACTGACGGATGATACCGACTACGATGCCGGTGAAACGTTCGAGAATGTACCAAGTCCACTGTCAAATGCTGGCAATCATGACAATTACTTTGGCGGACGATTTCGGACTAGGTGCGTTCTACATAGTCGCCATAACAACAAGACCAAGTTGCGACAACGAGGTCAAGCCATTTATAGAATATGTACTGTTCATGACGAAATTTCACATTCTTTTGCTTTAACTTTTGCCTACCTCTTTACCGATCATCATATCAACACGTTTATCTATGCTTGACTTTCACCTCTTG